AATGTTGTCAGTTTCTACAAGACGTTTGAAATCGACCCCAAAGATTACTTCTTTGCTGAATTCCAAGGGTACAAAATGAGTCACTCTCTCTTAGACCATCCTCTCCAATCTGAGGGGTTGAGCATATTTCAGTTAAGTTCTTATAGGAAAAAAATTACGCAACAAAATTGTCTATTTAGTGTTAATTTTTTATATTTTTTTAATTAATAATATTGTGCAACCCCTAAAAAAATTATAAGAACTTTTTTGTACAACCCCTGAATTTTTGTCCTGAGTCCATCACCACCGATTCAAAACTATCTTTTTTCTAACAATAAACAACCCCAAAGTAATAAATTTCGCATAAAATTAATATAAAACCTAGGAAATTTTGATTTTAAAATTGTAAATCAAAAACAAAAGTTCAATGAAATTAAAGCTTACCTTGTCAACAGATAAGATGTACTGAACATGTTTGTCAACTGCCAGCTCCCCTATCTGCCTCACATTTTCCACAACATTCAAGGTTTTGTGAATACAAAGGTTACAAAAAATAAAATCAAAACCCGATGATGGTGTAGTTGAATTTTTTAACAAGTTTCTAAATAAAAACAAGAGTTTACCTTTCAAGTACTAGAAACATTTTTTTATTACTGTTCCAACGAGATATGCTTGTTGAATATCAAAATTGTTAGCCTCTATATAAGTAAATTATCAAACACTTTCCCTTAAACTTGCCTAAAAAAGAAAATACACTTTTAAAAAAGATTATTCTTCATTTTTAACTAGGAAGGAAACAATTACAGAAGTCATGGCTACCTAACAATCAAAACATAAACTTACCAATAATGCATCAGCATTTGGCACAAGATAATCCATTTGTTCTCTAGCAGCAATTTATTCTCTTCTTTTCACCCCTCAAATAATTTACCATAAATATCATCAATAATTTACATTTTACTTAAAACATTGATGGGCAAACCTTGTAACGAAGGTAGCTGACTGATTCAATTTCACTCCCTTTCGAACATTAATAGATGAAATGCATGGCATATTTATATCTCATGTGTAAGTAATCCAAACCAACATGGATTAATTATTCATGTGGCATCAATGTTATAGCAGAAAAATATAAATCCATTACACTACTTTACTATAATATAATTGTAATTCTGCAAGCTCTACCATATGTTTAGATGATGGCAGGGTCTACATTCCCAGACAAATAAAATGCTCGGCATTTCACCTAGGACTGTAACAGAGCCGAGCCAAGCCTGAATAATGTGAAGATCGAGCTGAGCTCACCCAAATTCATAACTCGAAACTCGGCTCAAGCTCGATTGAGTATCATTTTATGCGATAAAGCTTGACTTGAATAAAATCGAACAATTTGAACATGAATCGAATTAGGCTCAATTTTCTTACTTTCACTAAGAACAACAACTTGAAATCTCAATTCTACTCAAACAATGAATCTAAAATTGTAAAACATATTACCTGGGAAAAAATTACAAATAGGAAACCTAAGAAACTAACAGACATGCACAAGTCAATAACTTATATTGCTAAATACCTATTGGAAAAGACTAAATGTCCAAGGTGATCAGATCAGATTCCATTAAACTAATATGGATGATAGGTGAAGTTCTTCTTCTTGTTTTCCCAATAACTAATTCTTCAAGCGAATATAGAAAATATAAGTTTAGAATAAGTTCATTTTGTTCGAATTCTCCTTTTTTGGGCTTTCATCTAAAACTTGGAATCAGGTGAACCTACCACAGATTTTGTCCCTCTACAGATTTTGGGGTGAAGGGAAAGGAGAGGAGTGGGTGAGAGGAGACTAGAAGTAAAAGCTTTAGGGTTCTGAATTACAGTTAAGTAGTAAATTAAAAATATAATATTAAATATAAATTATAAATAAAAGCTCGATTAGGCTTGGGATTTACTCAAATTGAGAATCAATTAACATGCTCAAGTTCAGATCATTTGATAGCTAGAGCTACTCAAGCATAACTTGATAATGAACAAATAAAATTCAAGTTATTTTCGAATCAAATTCGAATAGCTTGCGGGTACGAAATCTCAGGTACAATCCTTTATTTTCACCTGCATAATTTATATAGGTTTATATTTGAGACACTCAAACCAGTCACAGATCTGGAATAATAGTTAAATATGCCCAGAAATCACACAAAGCAGATTGTTCTTCTTCTATCAAGGAATACTGGTAACTCAGTCGAGTCAATCATGAATCATTCACGGAGCTGAAAGATATGTAATGCAACTACCAAAAGTATGCAAGGTGACAAAGATCATGATTAAATATGCTAGAAAACTAGAGATTTCCAATACTCAAGTAGGGATTTCTATTATTATGCACTAAAGATTAAAATCAAATAAAAAGAAAGCAAAAGAAAGTGAATGGAGTATGGATTTACCTTCGGAAGCAGCGATTGCTTGAAGGCAGGAAAGGAAACGTGGCCGGGCCAGGGATTGAGACTGGGACTCTGGTTGCTGTGCTGCCTTCGGGAGTAAGTAAAAGATTTGAAGCTTCCACTGTTTTCAAATTAATTTAGTATTTACATTCAACTGAATTAATCAGCGTCACGACTGGACAATTCAAGTTAATTAATTACTCACTCCAGTTTAAGCATTTACAAATTAACCTCTAATATTAAAAATATAATTAATTCTCTAATATCTACAAAAAAAATAGAATACAATTAATTAATCCCCTAATTTACTGATATCTATAAAGTATGAAATTATCTTTAAAGATCAAATTCGACACTCCCATCAAATTGGATTATATATGTACATTAATTCTCTTATCTTGAGATAAACATATCTTCTTAGAGATTTCTCGTTGTATAACTTCAATTGCACTATCGTCATCATTTATTATCATTTAAACTCCTTTTAATAAGAAAATCATTCATCTCTGTATTTATATGTTAAGTTGAATAGGATCTCAATGAAAGTATATGATATCTCTGTATTTATATGTTACAGTTTGTCTAGAACTAGAAATTGATCGCATTTTGTCCTAGGTTGAGATCATCATCTGTCTTGTGATCATTCACTTGATGTATAAATGAAATAAATTAAGTATTTATGAAGTAAACTTTGATCCTTCCGATAAACGTCTTTGTTCAGTTTTGCGTGACAAGTAATCCGAGGAACAACGTTGATGAACTGCAAATCAACACTGACCGTCCTCCCTCTCAGCCTTGAAAGTCGAAGAAGAGTGGCGTTTAAGCAAAATAACCCTCTCTGCCTTCACGTTCTCTTGCTTCCCACCAACATTATTAATCGTTTATTTTTTTTCCCCTTCGAAAAATGACTGTTTTTGACCTAGGGTGCGTTTGGTTCATAAAATGTAAGATTACCAGTGGGAATAAAAGATTATCAGAGAATAGGATTACTGATAATGTTGTATTTTGTGTTTGGTGGTTTAGCAAGAATGTAAGATTACCGTGTTTGGTTAAAAGAATAAAAGATTATTGGAATGTATATTTGACCAAATTGTCCTTATTATATATTTATTTTTTTAACAAGTTGGAAAATAATTATATATTTTCTTTAAAAAAATTAAATTCATAAAATTTATATAATTTTTTTTACAAAATTGAAAATATAAAAAGATTTAATGAAATGGTAAAATTTTATTTTAATCCCTGAACTTCATATAAAATTTTAATTATAGATTTTTTTTTGTAAATCTAAAATAGTTTAAGGATAAATTTGTAATTTAACATTCGTATAATTTTTATTATTCAATGACAGAATAAAGATATTTTTGAAAGAAATTTTTTTAAGGGCATTTTAGTCCAAAACGTCGGTAATCCAACAATACCTAAAGAAAGAGAGGTAATGACATTCCCGGTAATATACCCCAAAAAATTACACTATTGGTAATATAAGATTACCGGGAATGACATTCCCTGCCAACCAAACGAGAGAATGTGAATTTCATTCTATGAGAATCTCATATTCTCCCAACCAAACACACTCTTAAAGTATTAAATACAGTGTGTTGTTATTGAGGTTGAATATGTACTATTACTTCGTGGCATGCAGTGTCGGTCACTTGTGTTGAAAATGCCACTTGGGTGTCAGTTCGTCCCACATCGAATGTGTGGTTTTATTAGCTCGTTCACAAAATCGCTCAAGTAGAAAGATATCGGTAGCACTAAATTATTAATGAAATAAAGTACATAAAGGATAATTGTACGAACCAATCGATCTCGGTGATAAAAAAATTATTGTTATTCTTTAAGATCTGGAGTTCAAGTACCATAAATGTCGGAAATATGAACATCCAATGTAAAATGGTTGAGAATTATTTTGTAATAACTCATTTAATGATATTTTGTAATAATTTAATTAATTTATAATTTTCAAAATTTCAATGATAAAAATATTATTTCAACAAAGTTGAGTGCCATTTGTGTATTTTTTTACCCTTATTAATTTCATCGTCATTCTTTTATATTTTTCTTTGCGACGTAGTGCGTGCATGTTCTGTCAAATCGCATGGTCCACTCTCATCAAACTGAAGTGGGGGCAGTCAAGTCAACTGCTAAACTGACATTTTTCGGAATCTAAGGAGATTTGTGGTTTTTCTTATTCCGTTTGTTGATTAACGATGGATAAAGACGGATTTATTGGCAAAGAACCACCCAGTTTAATGACAAATTACCATTTTCAAGGTTGAGAATTAAGGTACATTCATTACCAATAATGCCTTAAAAAAACATGCCAGCTTGTGTGAGAGCGACTGTGGAAGAAGACCCATCCTTGGAGGCACTACAATGACATACAAAATCGAAAGAACTTTACCCTCTTAACGAGAGAATCCAGGTTCGAATATTGAAGACGATATTGTTCGTATCGTAAAACCGGCATCGGAGATAAAAAGAAGAAACTTTATTTATGAAACAACAGCTAGAAGGTCTCTCCTTTTCAATTGCTGTACAAAGCAATAGCTCATTCTCCAATGGATTATCTTAATATATGCAGAAAAGAAAAAAGTAATTGTAATCATACCTCAATGCTATACATAGACAAAGGAAATAATCAAGAGATACATTAATGCATTGTTTTTTCATGAACAGAGCCTGGGCACGGATCTTGCAGTGCTACGGGTTGATACCTTGGATTTCATGAGTTTAGTCATCTGGTTCTGCATTTTCTTGCAGAGTTTCTCCAATTCAATCACCCTCCATTGCATCCCTTGTAAATGTGTTCTCAGGTTCTCGTTGTCGGCCGATATGTCTAGTTTCCCGGAATAAAGAACAATTTGTTCACCGTCTTCACCTTTCTTTGCCTTGCCTCGGGTTTCACTGAATTTACGAGGGGAATCCGTGTCGAGTTTAGTGTTCTTGGTGCCCAGCAGTGAGTTCTTAAGCTTCAATTGCTGGGAAACGAGAGCTCGAACCGCGGTTTTCGACGGAAAATTTGTGTTCTGAGAAAGATGTATGCAAGCATCAGAAGAGAGCTTCTCGTAGTTCAGTGCACAACATATCTTTAGTTTTTCTTCTTCAGACAATCCTGCATGCACCTATTGAAACCATTTTTAATCCGAATGCACCAGATACTATAATGGAGTAACTTTCATACTAAAATGTTTCAAAGTACTACCTCCAGATAAACATCCATGGCATGGTATAATTCGTCCCAACAGTCCCTCGCAGAATCCGGCAAGGCCACCACCAAAGCTAGAAACTTCGACGATCTAAGGAAAGGATCCGGAGCTACTTCCGCAATATACAGATCCATCAAGCTAGCAACTTTCTTCATTCGTGCCGGAGATAATCGGCAGCCTCCTCCACACAAAAATGCATTCAGAAACCTAAGAATAAGGTTCACATCATACAAATAACTTGTGCCGTACGGCGATGGGATTAGCAGGCTGTCTAATGTTACTTGATCCATCTGAGAACCTATCATACTCTCCAACTTGTTCCTGCTACTTTTGCTTATATTCAAGCCTGGCAACACACGAAGAATCCCGAACAAACTCTTGCATGAAACACAACTCGGATCCAGAGTGTAAAGCATATCGATCACAACTTCTAAAACTTTGCATTTCTCATCAGATGAGACGGTGAAAAACTTCGACTTCTGGTAATAGAAGAGGAACCGGCCGATGGTCATGTGATTGTACTTTCGAGATACCATAGTTTTTATCAGCATTTCAATAAAATCCGGACTCAAAACAGAAAGGTCATCGAACCACCAATTCACTCGAGAGAAGCTGTTCTTCAAACTCTCGGTACTTCTGGTATCGCAGGAAAACCGAAACCCCGAGCTATCTGGAGACGAAGTAGACGCACAAGGACTTGCTTCACTTGTGATAGCCAGCCTCCCAACAATCGAATCCAAGCATTTCTCAAGTATACCCGAAGTGGCAACCTGTTGCAAATCTTGGCAATGTTTCAAAGCAACCAAAAGATCAGGCCAAGTCCAATACCCGATCTCTTCGATGCATTTCTTCGTTTTTTCTAACAAATTACAGTTTCCTGACACGGAGTCGTTCATCTCCATGAATTCAGCAGCAGAGTATAACAAGGAAATATTTGAAGGATTTACATCAATTTCTCCATTGTTATAACAAAACCTTGCTATAAGGTCAAAATTCTCTGCCCCACCAGGAAAGTCATGGAAGATCACTTTATTCCTTTTGGAACCTGTGGATTTACGGAGTAATTTTCTTAACCTCCCTGAGTATGAACATATAATTTTCTGCAATCACCAGACAAAAAGAGGAATCAGATGATAAAGCCAAGAACTCGAACATGGACAGTATTTTACCACTGAGGACAACTGCTCGAGACCGGGTCTTTTAGATATAATAAAATTCTCTTTTATTGAGACCACTAGATTCGATCATGGATAGTATTAAATCAAGTGATGGGGGTAATAAATAGCAAATGTGTGAATCGATCATCCCCAACAAAGAAGGGAAATGAATAGTAATTCATTGTCATGATTATGAAATCAACCCTCAGTGGCATAACCCAGCACAAAAGAGGTGAATGAAACAACAGCAATAAATGAGAAGGGGGAGAAGAAAGAAAACAAACAAAAAGCACTACACACTCGAGACCCACACCGTTGCAGTTTAGGTGGGAAATTAAATGCCAAGTAATACAACTGAAAGATACAGGACAGAAGAAATTTACAGGAGAATGTGACAATGTTATCCCACATTTCCCACACTGCAAAAACTGCAGTCACACAAATGCAAAAGCATGGCCAAAACCCATTAATTTGTTGCACTGAAACACATTATGTATTCACAACACCAAAACAGAAACTCAGATCAGCACACAAGGAGAGTGAATGAAAACACAAACAAAGTTGGCATTTTGAAGAGAAAGCTAGAAAACACTAAAAAAAAAGGTGTTCCTTTTTAAAAGAGAGAACTTTATAACAAACAGGTAGAGAACAGAATTTACCTTGTTTAGCAGGAAAGTCTCCTCTCCATTAATATCTGCTTCAAGATCACAGCAAGCTGCCATGGCCCAAAATAAACAAAACCCACCTCAAATCAAGAGAAAAATGGAAGTGGAGTTTTTTTAGACGTGGAAGAAGACAAGCAGAAACCAGTGATTCTACACTCTACAGTCACTAAATTATCCAAAAAGAAGAAGAAGAAGAAGAAGAAGAAAGTTTATAGTCAATGAACTGACTTTGGTTCTGCAAAATGAGGGGATAGTAATCAAAGGTAAGGCCTCTGAATTTTTTTCCTAAAAAAGAGTGCAACAGGCTCACAGTGGTATAAAAAGACAAAGAAGAGATAAATTATCCACACAAAAAAAAAAAGACAAAGAAGAGATAGTATAATAAGATGGAGTAATTTAACTAGAGAAAATAAAGCAGACGTCGTGTGACCACTAACCTCAACCTGACATTCTTGCTAAAAAGAAAGTACTTTTCCATGTAATAATTTAGTTATTATCTCTTTCATTTAAGTAAAAAGAGGGGGATGATGGTATATTTTACTCGAACGGTGAGTTTTTTTTTTTTTTTGTCTTGGGAGAGGACCCTCCCTTATAAAGCTTGGAACTGAAGCTTTTTCGCTGGCTTTCCTTCTCTCTCTCCTCCCATTATCCTCGCTGCCAGACCCAGTCTCTAGACCCGTGCACCCACCACCCATATTATTAAGAGTCCTTGATGTTCAATCCGCTCATAGCCAGTAACCTTTGGGTTTGTTCATTCAATTATTAGCTTTTTTATTAAAATATCACTCCAATAAAAATTATTTTCAAGAATAAAATTTATTTTAAATTAATAAATTAAAAGATAAATTATAAATTTCACCACTGAATTTTACTATATTTCTTATTTTGCTCACTAAACTTAATATATTGAATTTTTTATCACTCCACCTTTACATAATTAACAACGTTAAAATGATGTTGTTTTAAAAAAGCAAAAATTTTACTAAAATGACGTCGTTTTGCATCTACATAACATGTCATTTATAACGTCGTTAGTGAGAAAATGATTGAGTGACCAAAAAAACCCAATGTATTAAGTTTAGTAAGAAAATTTAAAATATTTAAAATACAGTGAGTGAAATAGGAGATAGAGTAAAGTTCGATTTATAATTTACTCGTTTTTATGTCACGTGAGGTAAAAACACGATATATCATATGTGTCTTCGAAAGTGTATTATACAAACCACATCATTTATCTCCATGTAATGGTAGTTTAGCATATCCAAAAATTTAAAAATTAGGTCTAAAAATTTTAGTACTCTTTTTTAAACAAAATAGGTATGCAATTTTTTTTTATTTTTTTCTTCTCTTAATATCTTAAACTATATTTAATAATTTATACACCCATATCTACATGTTTGTACATTTATAGGAGTTTGATCACATGTTGGGTCAAAAAAATAACAATAGTTAAAACTATTTAATAAATTATATAAATTTTGTCCAAAAGAATAAACGTGTGTGTTGAAAATATATGTTTACACGAGTACGAGTCAGGATGATAGCAATATCACACATGAATTAATATTGTCTTTAATCACTCAATAAATGTTATATAGAATGAAAGGGAAAGAGAGACTCTAAGGGAATGGATGAGAGTGCTTTTAGTAATTCTATAAGTCATGATATAAGGAAATATGAGGGAATAAAGATGATCAGCTTGACCAACCAGTTAAATGTGCTTGCTCTGTATTTAAATACATAAGAAATCATATCTTAACATTGTAAAATTTGATTAAATCATGATCAAACATATTAATTTTATAAAATAGTTTTTGCTCTAATAACGTGATATAATGTATAATCTAAGAGTGTGACATCATCAAAAATAATAAAATAAACAAATTCAAAGTCTAATACTGACCAAACAAAAGTTTAAGGACTAAGCTAAAATGAATTACAAAGTTCAAGGACTAAAAATATGTTTTTCCCTTGTAGAAACCTATCAAACATGCATATATTACCACAAATTAATACTATGTTGTCGTATTCCCATATCTTGTAGTATAATTAGCAATCGGTACGTTGCCCATTTTGGGACCTTCTTAGTTTCATGGCCAGGGGATGTGCTGTACCAGACTTCCACCCTAGACCCACCCCTACACTAAAAAAGATTCGTCTTTTTCAGTTCAGATCATAGATCATGTTTTGTATTGTTTCATGTCTCCCCCTTTGTTTTGTGTTTACCATGGTTCATTTTGCTTGCATTCACGGTCTATTATGGTAAGAAGTTTGATATTTTAATTTTAAGTAAAATTTCGAATTCGAGTTTTATGTAGGAAGAAAATAAATTTATGAGAATTTTGTCTCTCGTTTAAGATTTAATTTGATTGGACTCAAATATAATCAAGGTGGGTATGACTATTAGTCTAAAAAATACAAAATGATATGGGTTAGACCGAGCTTCTGATCTATTCGAATTTGATCCAAGTATAACACTCATTCATTCATCATTCAATTCGACGTAATTTTTAGAATAAAAATTTACACGATACTCTGCACAAATATATATATATAATTATTATTTATTAGGTAAAATATATATCTAATTGGGAAAAATGTAATTAGAGAATTATTATAGCAATAATTCTTAAACATATAAAGGTTAGTTATACTATTATTTCCGGCTTGAGTTAAATCGGGTATTTTTTATCTTAAACTCGAACTTAAACATAACCTTATCATTAAAAAAAAACTTAACCCTGAATTTTCAAACAAACAAAAAATATGATCCTATTACGTCCGGTCATAATCCACAAGTTCGGCTCAAATACACATCCATTCATAGAACTCGTCGATATACACTTGAAAATTAGTATTTTCAAGGTACAATGACAATTTTTTACCATCAAACTAAAATAAAGTTCATTTTAGCCATTCATTCTTTTTCTTTCGATTATCAATTTTTTATTATATTAAACTAACTAATGAAAAAATAACAGTCTTGTTAGGTTGGCGTTAATTATTTTATCTTTTTTATAAAAAAAAGGTATTGTTTTAATATTTTTATTTTCTACAAAAATAAATAAATAAAACAACTGATGTCAACATTAAAAAAATAATAACAATTAACATTAACTTAATAGATTTATTGTTCTTTTCGTTAATTGATTTAATTTAGTAATAAAAATAAGATTTAAGAATCAAAAGAGATAAAAGTAAAATATAAGGATTACAATTACTTATTTTATTAATTCGAGGGCTAAAAATTCCGTCTTGTTTCCCGTTGAGTTTATTGATTTCATACAAATGCCTTTGTACTCATTCAATAGATTAGATCATCACGTAATGTTGACTAAAAAATACATTAAGGTAAATTACACAAATGGTCCTCCAATTATGATATATTATTTTATTGAGTCTCACGACTATTAAATGTTACAAAATGGTCTCCCGATTATACGAAGTTGCTTTGTCGAGTCATTCGACTATTAAAAATTAGAAAATAGTCACCCAACTATTCATTATGTTCCAAACTCGTCCTTTTCTATTAAAAAATTAACGGTCGTCTAAGTTTGACGTTAACATGTTGACTGATATATGATAATCGTTTAAGATTATAAAATCAAATTTTATCAAATTTCAGTCAACATGTTAACATGTAGCTCATATTAACATTAATATTTTAATGAAAAAGAACGAGTTTGGAACATAATGAATAGTCGGGTGATCATTTTGTAACCTTTAATAGTGGACGGACTTAACAAAGCAACTCCCTGTAATCGACGAATTATTTTGTAACTTTTAATAGTTGATAGACTCAACAAAGTAGTATCTTATAATCGATAGATCATTTGTAACTTTACCCGATACATTTAGATAAGATAAACAGTCTTCTAACACTACTTGTACTTTATTTTAATAGGTCCTAATTTAGCTATCACGGGCATTAATTTCAGATACCTAATACTAGACGGCTTATGATAACTCCATTTTATTCTATAGTTTATGTGTATGATATTTATACAAGTCTAATAGTTAGTAGCATAATGCTTAGGCACGTCTACTGGTAAATGTAACATGCGATACGTTATAAGACCCCAAGATTTAGAGGTTCTACATTTTAAAAAATATATTGATTTTATTTCTAAAAGTGTTCAAATAAGTACACTTTTTTAAATATAATATCACAATTATAAAGTTATTTTGTAACATTGTCTTTGTTTCATTTGTTAGGATTTTTATTTTATAAAAAAATAGTAGTACGGTGAATTTTAATATTTTATAATTTCATCTTATTATAAAAATATTTTAAGAACCTCATTTTAAAATGTAGCACATGATCTCCATCTATTGGTACGGATCTGATCTCGTGACATGATTCATACAAAAATTACGTATTTTTTTTGTACAATTGACAAATGTATAGAGATTTTAAATTTAATGTCAATTAAAATTAAAATAATACTTTGTTAATATATTATTTAATTGATAAACTGATGTATTTCTTAAAAGCCATAAATTATATCTCTATAAAACATCATAAGAGTAAACCGCCTATTTGCTCACTCAATTTTTAAGATATTAACGTTTTGGTCATTCGATAAACTCCATTCAATTTAGTCATTCATCTTTTAGGATACTAATGTTTTCGTCACTCGAGCGCTAAGCTCTTAATGGAAGTTAACATTTTATTCAAATTTAAATGTAATCGTTTATAAAGTTATGATACTAATAATTAGGGTTTAACATTGGAGTTACCAAAACTTTAACACAATCATCATCTAAATATATTAAAATATATAATAAGAAAATTAAATATTAAAATGTATCACTTAAAAGATTTATATTAAATCTTGAAATCAAATTCAATAATAAATATTATATTTAAATACTTACTATACGACATGATTGTTGTGTAAATGAACATAGTATTTGATTAATTATGTGTGAATAATTTATATAACGTTCGTTTATTAAGTTAAATAAATTATTATGAATAATACTTTTATACTCATTTAATAAATGAATAAACATGAATAAATGTGTGATCAGTTCATTTATATTCATGAGCATACTCGTTTATCTGATTATTTTTTTATATTTTTTAGATTTTAAAATTAGTGAAGTTAGAGACTAAATTGAATATAGTGTGAACTATAAAGTTCAAACAGTGAAGCTTAAGGAGCTTAAAGACTAGTGACATAATTTTACCATTTAACTTCGATTGTTAAGTTAACATTAAACCTATAAAGTGACATGTTCTAAATTAAAATGTTCACGAACGTTAAACGAATATGTTTACGAAAGTAAATGAATCGAACTTATTAAAAAATAAATAAAACAAATACGAAAACAATATTAAAAATTTAAATGAACATGAACACCTTAAAAAATAAACAAATAAACATGAACATAACCTTGTTCGTTCGTGTTTGATTTATTTACACCCCCACCCTTTTTGATCAAAATTCTAATAACCTAATTTTCTAATATAATTATTTATCTAAACAAAATAACAAAAGTTAAATATATTTTAAAATTATCTAAAATTTAAAATTTTGTTTGAACACTCGTTTTAATTCTTGAGTTATTTGCTGGGTTGTGGAAAAGAGGATTGGATTTATACAACACGGGCTTGATTGGGCAAAGCCCGGTAAGCACCAAGAGGCTATGGCGGCCGGGCTTGCCGCATGGTAAGCTCATATAAGTGGATTAATAAAATACGAAAATCCAAGCTCTTTAGAGTTGAAAAAGAGAAAGCCCAAACAGGATGACGTCGTTCCTCGAGACGTCCTTTTGCTTCATTCACCTCATTTGCCCCTGCTTAACTCCCTTCCTTAAATTTCATGTTTGTTTGCCTTATTTCTATCAACTCTAAGCTTTCAAAAAATCCACGAAAATCCAAAATCCCCTCGATCTACGTACTTTTCAGAATCCCGCTCGACGGTCAACGCCTGCACCGATGCCGATCAACTTTGTATTTGGGCGGAAGCTTTTATCCCCGTCGTCTGTCTACACCAAGACAAAATTATTTGATTTGAGATTTAATCCTATGCTGTATTGATTCCTTCAACTGTAATTTCTCTTCGTTTTTTGTATATACATATATATATATATATATTTTAATTTTAATATTTTTCATAGAATTTAAAATAAGTAATCTTTGATTATAATTAAAAAAGAATTTCGTTATTATTTTATAAATTGATAGTATTTTTTTATATTTTATAATGAAACTAAAATACTATACTATGTTTCTATTTATCATATTAATGAAACATTTCGTAATTTTAATATTTTTCTTAGGATTTAAAATAAGTAATTATTTGATTATATATATTTTAAAAAAAATTCCCAGTCAATTGGTCGAGGACATCAAGTTTGAAGGCGTAGGAGGAAGAAGAGCTGAAAGGTTTAAATTGCCGAAAATATCCTCAAATGTATTATACGATTCAACATACGGTCTAACTTCTCCTTTCCCAGTTCTCCCGGTTTCTATTGTAATTACCAACAACTATGAGGGACATTATTATACTTTCAAAATTCACATCTTAAATCTGAAAATTTCACAATCAATAAATAAAAAAGGGTTGAGAGAAAAGAGAAAGAGAGAAATTTAAACTTTACAACACAACGGCAAGATAGAATACAATTACAAAAGCCCCGAGATAAATAAAAAAAGAAGGATTTAATAGAATATTTTTCTTTCTTTTTTTGTTTTCTCTAATATCTATTTTTTCTTTCTCTCTGTTTGTTTGGCGCAAAATAGTTTCTGATTTCTGCAGCTCTCGAAGCTCGTCGTCGATCTGTTCTTCACGTTTGTCGATTAATAGCTTTCTCTCACGATTTTCTTCGCCTCCCGATTGTTTGTTCCCTCGGTAGATTCTTTTGTCTTGTTAATTTCTTAATTATAAACATTGTTTCTTTTGTCAATTCCGCGGCGTTTCAAACCCTAGAAACCGTGTGGATTTTCGAATGCTTCTGTTTTTTTTCTTTCTATATTCCTTGTTTTCTTCTTTTTAGTGGAACCCTGCATTGATTTAGTTGACGTGGTTTCGTGGTGGGTTTTTGTTGTTGTGGTGAATTAGGTTAATTTTGGAGGGAGAAGATTTGAGGAGTTGGAAAAGAGGGAAAGAAGTTTTGTGAAGTAGGAGCATCGATAGCCCCGAGAAAAAGGGGAGATAACTAGGGTTTGTGATAAGTTGGAGAATTCGGAGGAAATTGTGGGGACTTCCATGGGCGATGGAGTTGCGTGCATGCCTTTGCAGCAGCATCAACATCAGCATATCATGGAGATGTTTCCAGTTACAGAAAAATCTCTTTGTCCCAACAATGAGCTCACTTCAAAGCCTGTTAATATCAAAGACAACGCAGAGCAGCAACAGCAGCAGCAGAAGCAGAAGGAACCACAACAGCAGCAGAAGCAACCGGAATCACAGCAGCAGCAGAAGCAGAAGGAACCACAACAGCAGCAGAAGCAACCGGAATCACAACAGCAGCAGAAGCAACAGGAACCACAACAGCAGCAGAAGCAACAGGAACCACAACAGCAGCAGAAGCAACAGGAATCACAACAGCAGCTGCCGCGAAAGAAGAAAAAACTGGTTAAGGTTAAGAAAGTAGTGGTGGTAAAGAAGAAGGTGTTAGTGGGATCGACAGCAGCAGCAGCAGCAACATCAAAGAAGAGTGAATTGGTAGTTAAAGCAAAGAGTGAAGCGGGACTGAAAGGCAGTAAAGATATCGATAAAGGTGAGAATTCTGGGCAGGAGGAGGAAGTGGAAGAAGGTGAATTGGGGACTTTGAAGTGGCCTGGAGAAGGGGAGAATGGGGAGGTTGGGACTGACAAGTCAAAGAGTGGGGAAATTGGGAAGGGAGAGATTGCTAGTGAGAAATGTAGGAAGGCAGAAGTAGTGAAGGAAGATATTGTTTCTGAGGTGAAAGTAGAGCCGGAGAAAGGGGAAACAGTATCTAAAGAAAAAGGGGAGGTGATGAATGGAGGCATTGTTACAGGTAAATGGAGAAAAGGGGATGTGGGGAAGGGGGAGATGGCTATGGAAAAAGGAAGGAAAGGGGAACCTGAAAAGGGAGAATTTGGGTCATGGCGATGTGCCAAAGATGACCTAGAAAAAGGAGAATTCATTCCTGATAGATGGCATAAGGGGGACTTAATGAAAGATGAGTACAGTTACAGTAAATATCGGAAGTATGAGTTCGGAAAAGAAAGAAGCTGGAAATATGAAATGGAACGTACACCACCTTCTGGAAAGTACTCAATTGATGATCTTCATCACAGGAAGGAATTCAGTAGAAGCACTGCGCATAGCAAAAGTTCTTCCAGATGGGAAACTAGCCTGGAAAAGACTTCTAGAATCAGTTCAAAGATTGTGGATGAGGAAGGCTTGTATAAGAGTGAGTACAGCAATGGTAAGAACCAGGGGCGAGAGTACCCTTCTTCTGGTAATAATAGGTTGAAGCGGCATGGTACTGATTTAGATAGCAGTGACCGCAAGCATTATGGAGATTATGGGGACTATGCAAGTTCAAAATGCCGGAAGCTCTCTGATGATTTTGGTCGGTCCCACCCAGAGCTCTATACACGCTGCTCTGTTGAGAAGTTCTATAGAAATTCTTCTTCATCAAGAATGTCTTCATTGGAGAAGTACTCTTCAAGACATCATGAATCCTCTTTGTCATCTAGGGTTGTTAATGATAAGCGTGGGCGAAGTCCGGGATATCCTGAGCGGTCCCCACATGACAGGATCAGGAATTATGATCATAGGGACCGGAGCCCAATTCGACGTGAGAGATCCCCTTGGGACAGATCCCCATATGCTCTTGAGAAATCCCCATATACTCGTGATAGATCCCTGTATGCTCACGAGAGATCCCCATATGATCGAAGCCATCACTATGATCATAGAAACAGAAGTCCTATTAATGCAGGGCGTTCCCCAGAGGATCGAGCTAGATTTCATGATCGTAGAGACCGGACCCCCACCTATATGGAACAGTCTCCCCATGATCGGAATAAGACCAAAAATCAAAGAGAGACAAGTAAAAAAGGTGCCTCAAATGAGAAACGTGTCTCACAATATGGTTCTAAAAGGCAAGAAGATAAAGTCAGTCGGAGGGATCATACTGGAAGAGACTCACATTCCTCAGCTAAGGATCCTCAAGATAGAACCAGTGTGCTCAATTTAAATGAATCAGATGAAAAAAATGGTGTGTGTGAGTCCAATAAAGAAGATCAATCCCCAAGTCCCAGTGTAAATCGCCAAGAACCTCCTCTTATTAATGGGGCACCTCCCGAAGAGCTGCAATCAATGGAAGAAGATATGGACATATGTGACACACCACCTCACATTCCTGTGGTGGCCGAGTCTGCCATTGGTAAATGGATTTATCTTGATGCTTTTGGTATTGAACGCGGGCCTTCAAAATTATGTGACCTTAAGGAACTTGTGGAAGAAGGGGTTCTTTTGTCTGATCATTTGATCAAGCATTTGGATAGTGATAGGTGGGTGACCGTTGAAAATGCAGCTTCTCCCTTGTTGACTGTGAGTTTCCCATCCATTGTATCTGACACAGTAACGCAGCTAGTTAGCCCTCCTGAAGCTCCTGGTAACCTACTGATAGAAACTGGAGATCCCAGGGCATTAGGCGCTCACAGTGGTGATGAGACCTTGATGAACTTCCAAGATGACAGTGCAGCTGCAACTTATTCCTTAGAAGATCTTCACATTGATGAAAGGGTTGAAGCTCTGATGGACGGTATTGACATTATCCCTGGCAAGGAGCTTGAAATAGTTGGAGGTATGCGTCACTGACTATATTTCTTTCACTCTTTATTTATTTATTTATTTTGGTTCCGATGCTATGTTCTCCCCGACTCTGGGTCTATGGACCCACACTTTTCTTGCACTTATTTTTTTACGTGGTTCCCCATGCATTTATTTGTGCACACGCCAATATGCATACACTTATATGTGTATATGTCTTTACGGAATTTAGATATGCACATGATTGTGTGCATTTGAGGAGATTTCTTATTTATTTCCTGTTTTCTGGAATTTTTTCATCACACAGAAGCTCTGCAAATGACCTTTGATGATGCAGAATGGGAAGGGCGGGGAAATTTTGATGGTAAGTATTTCTTGGAGTAGCCTATCATTCAAATCATACTTTTCTATTAGCACGTGACTTTCATATTTCAAATCATACCTCTTGAGCATTTGATTCTTTCCCCCCTTTTATTAACAAGCACAAGCACATTATGGTTGGTTTTATATTCTAATATCTTTGAGATTGGTTTTCAAGTTTATTTATGACATTGTACTTCTGTTCTTCGAGCTTGTGTTCAGAAATTGTCAGTAGGGGCATCCAATTCTTTTTGCGACCCATGATTAATAAGGATTTGTCTTAGCTCATAATTTACATGCTTGGTTCAGATAGCTGTACAGGGAAATTTTTAAAAAAAGAAATTAAAATATGAAGTTTAGTTAGTTGATGCCAATAACAATAAGGTAGCTTGTAGTGTGGGCTAGATTATATTGGGCTTGATGAGTATTTAACAGTTCCATAGGTTAATTGATATATTTCAGCATTTTTTGTCTACTTGTATGCTTGTCTTTTGGTTGATCCAGAATAAAGATTTGTCCTAATTATAGCATCTTTGAACTTTCAAGATTTATTTAACTTCTCTGAAGTTTCTTTGGTCTTCTTGGGATATATGTGCACTTGAGCTGATCTAGATTTACCAAGCAGAATGGGAGGCTGAATTAAGTGAAATGAAATCAGTATAATAGTTTTATCTGAACAATATAAATAACATTGAGATGAATTCAAAATGAAGAAATTAGCGTAACTCTGAGCAGTTAGTCACAATCTTGTGATTTAAGTTCATTCCTTATATTTGCTGTTTCAGGTTTCACGTGGCTTTTGAGTTGCACAGGGGATCAACATGATAAAGTAACTGATGAATTATCTAGCTACTCTGACATCAACTCAAAGGATGCTGCAGAGCCCAGAGTTGCTGCAATATCCGACTGTTCCTCTTGTGGCGACTCTATTGAATGGTTTTCTGGTCGATGGTCATGCAAGGGTGGGGACTGGAAGAGGAATGAGGAAGCTACTCAGGATAGATCTAGAAAAAAACTCGTTCTTAATGATGGTTACCCTTTATGTCATATGCCAAAGTCAGGGTATGAGGACCCTCGCAGGCATATGAAAGATGATCTGTACCATCCTTCTCATAGCAAAAGGCTTGACCTCCCTCCTTGGGCTTTCTTGGTTTCAGAAGAGAGAAATAATGATAAACCCTCTGCTGTGAGAGGAGTTAAGGGAACCATGCTTCCAGTTGTAAGGATAAATGCATGTGTGGTTCAGGATCAGGGCTCATTTGTATCTGCACCTCGCACAAAAGCTCGAGTGAAAGAGAGACATTCTTCAAGATCTGCCCGGTCACACTCTACAACTGGTGATATCAAGAAATCATCTGCAGAAAGTGATTCATTATCAAAAGCTGTTAATGACCAATGCTTGAAACGATCGTGGAAGTTGTTTGCATCCATTAATACTCCTAAAGACCATGTTTGTACTGTTGATGAGTTGCAGTTACACTTGGGTGAGTGGTTCTACCTTGATGGTGCTGGGCATGAAAGGGGACCTTCATCATTTTCTGAACTTCAGGTTTTGCTAGATCAAGGAGTTATTCCAAAACATAGCAGCGTATTTCGTAAAAATGATCAAGTTTGGGTTCCAATCACCTCGGCTGCTGGGAGTCTTGAAGCCACTACATGGAATCAGCCTAAGAATGCTGCACCATCTGCCGATTCTTCTGGAAATCTACTTTTAGATTCACAAGGTGTCACTGTTAGTGATAATAATGCAAGTTCCAGTTCATTTCACAGGCTACACCCACAATTCGTTGGATATACCTGTGGGAAGCTTCATGAATTGGTAATGAAATCGTTTAAGAGTCGGGAATTTGTTGCAGCCATAAATGAGGTTTTAGACCCATGGATTAGTGCAAAACAGCCAAAGAAAGAAATGGACAAGCATATTTATCAGAAAACAGGTATGCTACAATTTTAAATGATACATGAGTCTAGGTCAGGTTTGGCAGAGAAATATTTTAATTTACAATAAGATGCTAGAGCTTTTCACAAGTTTTGTGTGTAGTGTTAAGGCATTTTGCAAAAGCTGTCACTCTTTTTAATATGATAATCATGTTCATGATGCTTTTGTAGTGAATCTTATCTTAAAAGCAATATGTAATTTTACTTGGTATAGGGTAGTGCTTTTCTGTCATTTCCTTTTTCCTTGTCTCACTTTCTTCTCTTTTTGGCTTGACATTTTGGCTATTATCGCATACGTGCAGTTGTCAGGGTGCGTGTGCTTGTAGATATATACGTGATAAACATATTTAAGTTGACAAGGGTCCTCAGTTTGTTCTTGAACTTGGTGAATAAGAAATTTGGATGTACTTTTTTTTCTTCATAATTTGGTAAATATAGGAGACATTTGTTTATTCTTTCTTTTTCTTTTTGTATGTATGTTGTTGAACTTTGGCCTGCAATTGCAGATAGTGGAAAACGAGCACGGATTATGGTTAATGGAAGCGAAGAGGAGTATGACATTGAAGATGAGTTGCAGTCAATCCAAAAGGGTGAGCTTCCATTTGAAGATTTATGTGGTGATGCAACCTTCCATGACCAAGAGAGTGCTTGTTCCATTAGTGAGATGGGGAGCTGGGGCTTGTTGGACGGTCTTGTGCTGGCACGAGTCTTCCATTTCTTGAGATCTGACATGAAATCCCTTGCCTTTGCTTCTTTGACTTGTAAACACTGGAGAAGTGCTGTCAGGTTTTACAAGGGGATTGCAAGGCAGGTTGACTTGTCATCTCTTGGTCCTAGTTGCAGTAACTCTATAGTGCAGAAAATCATGGTATGCTTCATGGTTGTCTAAATTACTTGTACAAGATTTTTCCCACTTTTCAACTCGGGCTTAATATAATTCTTTATTTGCAGAATTGTTATGACAAAGAAAAGATAAATTCCATGATTCTAGTAGGTTGCACAAGCATAAGTACAAGCACACTTGAAGAAGTTCTTCGTGTTTTTCCTAGTTTATCTTATCTAGATGTTAGAGGTTGCGGCCAGTTTGAGGAATTGATGGTCAAATTTCCCAATTTGAAGTGGTTCAAGAGCAGAAGTTTGCATGCTATGACGATCTTGGATGATTCTAACTCTAAAATAAGGAATCTGAAACAAATTACTGAGAAAACTTCAGCTGGCCTTAAAACAGGCCTGGGGAATGCTATAGATGATTTTGGTGAATTGAAGAGCTATTTTGAAAGCGTTGATAGAAGAGACTCTGCAAACCAATTATTTCGCCAAAGTTTATATAGGCGTTCAAAGTTATTTGATGCCAGGAAGTCCTCCTCCATTTTATCCAGGGAAGCTCGTATCAGGAGATGGGCCATTAAAAAATCTGAAAATGGGTACAAGCGAATGGAGGAATTCCTTGCTTCTAGTATACGGGATATCATGAAGGAGAATACATCTGATTTTTTTGTGCCCAAGGTGCTGTGGACTTGTGCTTTTTTTTCCTTCCTGAATTATGTTTGAAAGTCTAATTTTTTTCTATCTTGGTTATTAGGTTGCACTAATTGAGGAAAAAATGAAAAATGGTTATTACATTGGACATGGTCTAGGTTTTGTTAAAGAGGACATCAGCCGGATGTGCAAGGATGCAATAAAGTAAGTTTTCTAGTTGCCACTCTTCATTCTCCATTTGATAATTTGTATTGAAGATTATTTTTAAGTTGCAAAAGTTTTGAATCATCCAAGCTGTAGTCATTTGTTAACTTGTTGAGTAATGTGTTACCCAGTTAGATTGTCTGAAGGTTGCCACGTATAATTGTATATAATTTCTTCTTAATGAAATTTATAATGTGATTTCTTTATATGAATAGAGCATTTTCTCTCCCTTCATATATATTTTAATATTTATTTTTATTTATTGAACATGAACTGTTGATTTTGTACCTTATTTCTCCCGTGCTTTATTTTTACTGCCATACATTCAGCATGGTTATCAGATAATAAGCTAACCCTTCCTCTTTCTTTTATATCACTTTGTTGGATGTAGAGCAAAGAATTGTAGTGGTGCTCGAGACATGAACCGCATAATTACTTTATTTATCCAGCTTGCCACACGTTTAGAAGAGGGTGCTAAGATTACTTCCTCTTATGAAAGAGATGAATTGCTAAGGTCTTGGAAAGATGACTCATCAACTGGGTTCTCAAGGTACAAGAAGAAATTTGGTAAGGCAGTCACTGAAAGGAGGTACATGAACAAGAGCAATGGCACTTCTTTTTCTAACGGTGTTTTTGATTATGGGGAATATGCATCTGATAGAGAAATTAGAAAGCGGTTGTCCAAACTTAATAGGAGATCTCTTGACTCAGAAAGTGAAACATCTGATGAACTTGATCACTCCTCTGACGATGGAAAAAGTGAGAGCGAGATTGAGAGTACAACTTCAGATACAGAGAGTGAATTGGATTTCAAGCCTGAAGGTCGGTCTGTAGAGTCGAGAGGGGATGGATACTTCATGGCTGATGATAGTTTTGATTCTATGACTGATGATCGTGAATGGGGTGCTCGCATGACCAAAGCCAGTTTGGTTCCCCCTGTCACTAGGAAATATGATGTCATCGATCAGTATATTGCTGTAGCTGACGAGGAGGATGTGCGGCGTAAGATGCAGGTATCCTTGCCAGAGGACTATGATGAGAAGCTGAATGCTCAGAAAACTGGCACTGAGGAGTTGGATATGGAACTTCCTGAAGTCAAAGATTATAAACCCAGAAAAGAGCTTGGAGATGAAGTTATAGAGCAAGAAGTTTATGGAATTGATCCTTATACTCACAACCTTTTACTTGATTCCATGCCTGGCGAGTTGGAATGGCCTTTAGAGGACAAGCAATCTTTTATCGAAGATGTTCTCCTTCGAAATCTGAATAAGCAAGTTAGACACTTCACAGGCACTGGGAACACTCCAATGATGTATCCCTTGAAGTCCGTTGTAGAAGAAATTAAAAGAGTTGCTGAGGTGGACTGTGATAAACGAACAATGAAAATGTGTCTAAGTATACTGAAAGCCATTGATGCTCGTCCTGATGACAAATATGTTGCTTACCGAAAGGTATACTCATATCTCTTGTACTATTTTCTGTTCTTTATCCTCATATTTAATAACTTTATGTTGTTTTTCTTGTTCCTTTGTTTTATGATACGGATATTTACATTAATTTTCTACTGAATATGCTTCATTAGGGTCTGGGTGTTCTTTGCAACAAGGAAGGTGGTTTTAGAGAAGAAGATTTTGTTGTAGAGTTTTTGGGAGAGGTATGGATTTGGATTAGTTTTCAAACACTTCCATTTATTGCAAATAATATGTTCTTTACATTTTTTGAGGTAATTAACTTACAGCTACATTAAAAAATACCCTTTTTTATTTTTAGTTTACTAATTCTTTTGTGGCTTTTGAATAAAATCTCTTTGAAGTCTTTTGTCTTGATGGGTTTTAATTTCTATAGGTTTATCCTGTTTGGAAATGGTTTGAGAAGCAAGATGGTATACGGATATTGCAGAATAACAGCAAGGATCCAGCTCCTGAGTTTTACAACATCTACCTTGAGAGGCCAAAGGTTTCCACTTCAATACGTCTTGTGCTAATTGTTTTTCTGTGGTTAGTTAACTTAATTGCTTTTCTGAAATTTTTTGCTGATCATCTCTTATTTATCAGGGTGATGCTGCTGGATACGATTTAGTTGTTGTTGATGCCATGCACAAGGCAAATTATGCGAGTCGAATTTGTCATTCTTGTCACCCTAATTGTGAAGCCAAGTAAGTATATTCTGTTGCTCCTTTTGGTCAATGCATAATTTTAAAACAATATATCCAGTTATTTTCTCTCTTTCCCCATTTCCCCCTAGTTCGGGAACTTTTGGACTTGTACAGAGAAGAGTAATTCAAACTTTTTTAATATGGAATATTATGCTCATCAGTGTCATTTTTTATGCTTCATATTAATAAATTGTAGACTTGATGTTTGTCACTTGTATGATCGTTAGACACAGTTAACCTGTTACTGAAATTCAATTGTTTGTACTTTGTTTCTAGCTTTTGCACTTAAGGTATACTTAAATCAGCTTGTGCAATGATTTTGGACGCCTAAAAGCTGAAAAGTGATTGACAACATCAAAAAAGTAGCATTGATGTTATACATAATTGGAGTTCATTGTGATAGACTGTTTACTAGTACGAACGTTATCCTCTGGTCGCAAATAGCTTATTCTTTCCCTTTTGGGACAAATTGTAGTTTAAATCAGTCTCTCTAGTATCTGTTTATTCAATAGTTTAGTGATTATGTTGACCTTTTTTGGTGCATAAAGCTTTTTTCAATTGGCATGACCTTTTCCTACCCTCTGCCTGTAACTTATGATCCTTAACAAACTTAGCCTAGCTACAAATTGAGATCCTTTCATAGTACCAAAATACTGTTTCCTCTATTTTATCTATTATTGACCTTTTCTTGGATGCAGAGTTACTGCTGTAGATGGTCAGTACCAAATTGGAATCTATGCTCTACGTCCAATACGATATGGCGAGGAGATTACATTTGATTATAACTCCGTTACAGAGGTTTGAATCTTCTGTCCTTCCCGCTTTGTTAAACAAGATAATTCATATGTTCTTATAGCACACGATTGATACTTATCAGAGCAAGGAAGAATATGAGGCATCTGTCTGTCTCTGTGGTAGTCAAGTTTGCCGTGGCAGCTACTTGAATTTGACCGGTGAAGGTGCATTTCAGAAGGTACACATTTTCATGAGTTTTTTTTTATTTTTATTGAAGAAACTAAAATGATATTTCCTTTATTGGCTGTGAAAACAAAATTATATGTTGCTTATTGCCTACTGTTGAATCAGTTGACCTTTTCTCGTCTGAGTTTCGAAAAAGTTATTATAGGAATTTTGTTGTTCATCAGGTACTGAAGGAGTGGCATGGTATACTGGATCGACAACAGCTAATGCTGGAAGCTTGTGAACTAAATTCTGTATCTGAAGAAGATTACCTTGAGCTAGGGAGGGCTGGCCTAGGCAGCTGTTTACTTGGTGGATTGCCTGATTGGTTGGTTGCATACTCAGCTCGAGTGGTATGTCTTTGGTTTGTTGTCATGTCATTTCATTGCCTCATTCCTGGATGTGAAAGTGGGGAAATTCTATTCTCCTAACGTTTCCTTTCTGGTGTAGGTGAGGTTTATAAATTTTGAGAGAACAAAGCTCCCTGAGCAAATTTTAAGGCATAATTTGGAAGAGAAGAGGAAATACTGTATAGATATATCTCTTGATGCAGAGAGGAACGATGCTGAGATTCAGGTATGTTGTTGTCTTTGTGCCTTTGCTCATGTCTACTCATGGTTTGTTTGGAGCTTTTTATGCTTACTGTTAAAATTTAAATGCTCATTGTATTACTTTCTGTTGAATGAGATAGGCTGAGGGCGTCTATAACCAGAGGCTTCAGAATTTGGCTATAACCCTTGACAAGGTGATTATCCCGTCCCTGAATAACATATGTGGCTGTAACTTATGTTTTTCAAATATTCTCGTACATGATAAATTATGGTAGCGTGTAATGTGATGTGTATAGTAATCTGTACTTCGAAGTGGTGTTTATTATTTGAAGAGCTAAGCTTTTAAAAAATTGAAGTTCAAACATTTCGGAATTCATGGATTACTCCTGTTTTCGTTTGGTCTAATGGTTGGATGGTAGTCATCTTTATGTTTTGATATTATTACATTACTGTTAATGATATCAAATTATGTAGACGCTAGTCCTTCTGTATTATGAGAGAATTATATACATGCTGATCATATTATATTAGTATCCTTATGTTGTCAATTCTGGTGTTGTTTCAGGTGAGGTATGTTATGAGATGCGTGTTTGGTGACCCCAAAAAGGCTCCACCTCCCATAGAGAGGCTCAGTCCTGAGGAAGCTGTATCATTTCTCTGGAAAGGTGAGGGATCACTTATTGAGGAGCTTCTTCAGTGCATGGCTCGCCATGTGGAAGAGGAAATACTCAATGATTTGAGGTCCAAGATTCAAGCCCATGACTCATCATGGTCTGACAACATTCTTGAAGAACTTCAGCGATCTTTGTTATGGTGAGTGCATTGTCCTCATTAATGGCGTCCCCATGCTGTTTAGTTTCAGTAAATAATGATCTTCAATCGTTTCTTTGTTTTGAAGGTTGAGGGACGAGGTTCGGAATCTTCCGTGTACATATAAGTGCCGACATGATGCCGCTGCTGACTTAATCCATATTTATGCTTACACAAAGTGCTTCATAAGAGTTCGGGTGAGTCTTTTTACTATTATTTTTCTGATAAACCTTTTTGAGTGTGTGAAAGGGGGAGGGGGCAGTGATGTAGAGAATGCTATTGTCTTGTTTATTTTTTGATCAAATCAATCATTTTTATGGACAGGAATACAAAGCAGTAACTTCTCCCCCAGTCTACATTAGTCCTCTTGACCTGAGCCCCAAGTACTCCGACAAGTTCACAGGTCTTCAGGAATATTGCAAGACATATGGTGAAAATTATTGTTTGGGGCAGCTGATATTTTGGTATAACCAGACTAGTGTCGATCCAGATAGCAGCCTGTTTAGAGTAAGTCGGGGTTGCTTGTCATTACCTGATATTGGTTGCTTCTATTCCAAGGTTCAGAAGCCATCAAAGCATCGTGTTTATGGCCCAAAGACTGTCAAATTTATGCTGTCCTGGATGGTAAGGTTCTTTCATCCATTTGTGATTTTGCAAATGCTGTCTTGAATTCTTAAGATTTCAAGTATTTAGGATACTCCACATTGCTTTCAAGTTGGCCATTTTGTAAATTACTTGGATGAATTTTGTGCATCATTGCAGAGTTGGTTAGGTTATGCTGATACTTTCATGCTGGGGATGAGGGCTATCTATTTAATACTGTTATTGATGACATACCTAAATTTCTAACTTCATTATATTGTGAATTTGGATGGTCTTTGATTTGTCTGTGTATTGGTTATTTATCCTTCATATCACAAATAGAAAAAGTATCATTCCCACAGTTGACTCGAATGTAAAGGACCGATAGTATTTGACTTGAAAGTTTATTACCATCTATAGGAACATGAGCTGGTTTACGGGGACCCCATGGTTACTGTTCCAATATGGTTCTTTTTTGGTGCAGGAGAAGCAACCCCATAGACCATGGCCCAAGGACCGAATATGGACATTCAAAACTAGTCCGAAAATCTTAGGCAGTCCGATGCTAGATGCAGTCTTATATAATAGTTCACTGGATAGAGAGATGATGCAATGGTTGAAGCATAGACCAGCAAAATTCCATGCAATGTGGGATCGATGAGACAATTTGTTGTAGGGGTTTTGAGTCTTAGTGGGGAGCAGTTAGGATTATTATTATTATTATTATTAGCCAATACGTCTGTAAATGTTTTTGGAATGATTCGGCAATTTTAGCTTTTGGCAGCTACCCTTTCCCCTTTAGAGTGGTAGTTGGGGCAATCATTTCAAAACACCATTTCTTGTGCCCCTTCTTTTCTCTTATCATTCTTATGTACAGTTTTCATCTTGATTTTTGTAATTCTTTTCGTTTAGAAAGGTCTTTGTTTCCTTCTTTTAAAGAAAATGTTCCTTTTATGTTGCCTATTGCCTAATATATTAACATCTTTCATTCTTGGAATCTCAACTCAAAGCTAGCTATTAGCTAATTTAAAGCCATGCCCCGCCCCAACTTCTGTGAAGTTTTAACGTTGAGGCTGGTGTGGCAGCAGTGGAGTAGTGTACTAGTGCACTACGGCAGGCCCCAGCATGTGCAAGTCCCCGACCATATGCCCCCCTGTAATTATGCGGCTATGATGAAATCACATGCGTTGAAACCCCCTCCCCTCCGAGACATAAGATGGACAAAACATAGATTGTACGGACCTGACCTGATGTGTCATTTATAGACAAACAAGGCAGGCCGATCATCCTTGATTCCCGTGTAGCCGCCTTAGTCCATCAGGCCCACCATTCGTACTTCCCACCCAATAGCCAATTCCCAGGTGGCAGGTGCCCTCCCTCTTTATAACTTCCCTTTGTGATCCCCTTCGTCTCCCTTTCTAATCTCCCAACATTTACCCATAAACCAAGCTCTCTGCAACCATTTCTCCACAACCATGAAAATGGAGACATATGAGTTTTGTTCCGCTACTACTCATCCACTTCACTCTCATCCTCCTTCGCCTTTTACTTCTAGTGTTACTGAGTTCGACAACATCATCGTCAACGATCCTTATCTCCATCCTCTCCTACCATTGATCTATGAACAAGACCCAGTCCATTATTTCCCTCCTCTTCCCCTCCATCATTCTCAACTCACTGATCAAGACTTCTCCCTTTATTCCTATGATACCCCAGACCCGGACAACAACAACAATAGCCTCCCTGTTGTTACGCTTACCTCCACTCATCTCCTTCATGACCTCCGCCCTCTCCACCACCACCGTATTCCCCTCCTCCCCGCCTCTCCCACCTCATCAGCTCCCAAACCCAAACGCAGTCGTCTCGACTTAGCCCTCTCCCACTCCGACAACAACAACCCTCAAACCCTCGACTCCATCGTGAAAAGCTTCAACGCTCCTGCTCCGATCATCCCATACAGTGATCTCGCCAGGAAGAGGAGACAAAAGCTCGGCGAGAAGACCCGTTGTCTCCAAAAGCTAATGCCATGGGACAAGAAGATGGACACCGGCACGATGCTCCAAGAGGCTTATAAGTACGTCCGGTTCTTGCAAGCTCAAGTCTCGATTCTCCAATCGATGCCCATCACTTCCAGTTTCTCATCGGCTCAACATGTTAATGCTGGTGGCTTTGCTGGGTTGGGTAATTTGAACCGGCAACAGCTTTTGCAGGTCCTGATCAACTCCCCCGTGGCGCAGACCATGCTTTGTTCACAGGGTTTTTGCGTTTTTGCTTCTGAGCAGTTGGTTTCGCTTCACAAGGCGAAGGAGAGGAAAACGGAGCTCCAACAGTATCTCCGTGGTAATATTAACTGATGAAGGAAACGGAAGCCATGATATATAGTTCCATATATAATAGCATAATCAATAATGATTTTACGGATTCTCTTGGAACTTTTGTTACATTTTCCAGGGTTCATATTAGCCTGAAAGCTTTAGTACCAGTTTTGTTATATAGAGCTTAAACCAATGCAAGGATTAAGGGGGTTTGAAGCTTTGCTTGGTTTATCATTTCCATTTATCATGAATATATATGGGTATATTGCACTCTCTCACTTAAAGCCTGAATAGTTTTGTATAATCATCTTTAACGTTATCGATTCGCTTAGCTTCAAAAATATGATGTTTCTGGTTCAAGGCTTCAATCTGAGAGCCATATCTCCTGTTTTTTTTTTCCCTTCCAGTTTTATGCATCTGCATGTATTGGTTGGTTCGAAAGGGAAGTTTTGTAGCAGTGGACAACATGAGGTTTAGGGTTTGCAGATTTGGATTTTGATTAGGATGGGGGAGAGAAAGTGACATCCTGAGGGGAGATTTGAGTGAGCTTTGTTTGTGTGTGTGGAAGTTGGTGATGAACATGGCGCATTGGGGTTTCTTGAGTTCCATTAGTACGAGTCTGTTTGCATTTGGGCCAGTAACGTAGTAGTACACTTGCTATGACTAATATAATAATAATAATAATAATAATAATAATAATAATAATAATAATATCACCAATCCGAAACTCACTCCTGCCAAACACTACTTAAGAAGATGAGAACAGACGTACTAAAGAACAAGACAAAACAAAGCACTAAAGGAGACCCGCAATCCTGCAAAAACGTGCACCATAACCCTACACGGTAGCAGACCACGATATCCACCTTCAACAACCTGCAGAAAATGTAGAGCAAGACGAACAGCAATAAACAACGGCTCTGCCACACATTGAGGCAGTAGGGCCTTAGGACTCACCACCAAGCTTTAAACAGTTCAGATCTTGTCAAACCAGTAATTGCCATCCGATCCGCCACGGAAGATCGGTTTATCGAAGCAAAGCTGACAGAAACTGGACCTAACGCTTTAACCTTTTCATCAATCTCTCTAAAAAATGGCCAAACATTCGAGAGACGAATCAGAGGGTTACTTAGCCAATACAAAGCAACTTGAGAGGATGATTCTACTACCAACGAACTGACCCCGTAGAACTCTGCTTCCACAAATATATCCAGAGCTAGATTAATTGCAATCACATTAGTGCCACCAGCGCTGCAATCACTCGAGGACCTGAAGACATTGCCCTTAAAGCACCAAAGAATGGTCATTAGAGGTTTTTAACCTATCTGAATTTGATTTGAAAATTAAATTCTTTTATCTACATCCGACTTGACTCGAATATCAAAAGGATCCCACTTGACCAGAAATATGATTCAATTTTTTATATTAAAACTTATACTTGATTCGACCTGACCTGACTTATATATAGAGTTATAATCCATTTTTACAACGTAAAACTTTTTAATTTTACATCTTTCAACACTCCAATTCCACTGTATTGCAATCGGATGTGTACGGAAAACTAGGCCATGTTCAAAATTTCAAACTTTGAGACAAGGAGCACGCTTGAACACGGAAATCATGTTTGAGCTCTCTCTCTCTCACTAAAACATGGAAAACAGCTTTCTTATCAAAATAGCGATCACACCCTCAAAATCATCAATCTTCATGTCTGTTTCTTCTCCCCAAGGGAATGGCTCCATCGGCTTCGTTGCTTCCAGTAGATCTTCTGTCGCTAACTTCGGCTTCGACCGCTCCAATGGACCTATTTGGTGATCATACATCCCTAGGTCTGCACAATAATCCTGGAAAAAGGGGTTGGGGCGGGGGGCAATGATCAAATATTGTTTTTTCTTTGGCAACTATCCATGTATGTAAATGTTTCTTACTTGACCAGCATGCATTTTCTTCACAAATGTCTTGAATATCTTGAAATTCTTGTCTTTCAAAAGCTCGTCCGATAAACGAAGATATGTGACCCCATACATTATCCGCTTTGGTTTACCGTCTCTGTCGATACCATTAGGCCTAGCATTTAACAGGATTTGATTGTAACCGTTACTGTCGTATCTCGATAACGCATTCTCTCCTGCTACTTCGAGCTGCTCTCTCCAGCATCCACTCAGAACCTGCGATGCAGACATCGATGAATTTGCATTCCACCGGCTCTATATAAGTATCGTTTTACATTATTAGTATTTGCAAAAGGAAAAATGGTGACACTTATCTTGCAAGACATGGCATTGATTTATACCTATATATGTTGCAGGGGCATTTACCTGTTGAACAAGTTCCTGAGGCCCGCATTTGGCGTCGGCTCGTTGTTCCGAGTTCCTCATCTCCAGACATGTGAAGTTGAAAATAGCATAATGCCTCGACAACATCCTGGCGACCGGTCGGTATCCGTCTCGGTCTTTCAAATTGTAATATCCTGAAGTTAGTTCTGCTGCATGACTAGGAGATTTATACCACCAATGAATTCCAGCTATCTGTTTTTAACAGAGTAATAAGTGAAAATACTGAGAGATTTAAGCCTTTGGGTGAAAATGCTTTTAGTTTAAAGACTCGTGGTACATACTTTTGCAGCTAGCTTCACTTTACACCCCAAGAAAGCTTTGTTAGCTTCATCGAGGATCTCGTCGCCATGGTTTATTAACTTGTTCGAGTACCAAGTCAAGAAAAACTTCCCTTTCTCTGTCAGGTATGTCCCGTTCAGTCCGAAGAACTCTGACATCCCGGGCGTGTCGTTGTATTCCCCCGCATTATCGGGCAATCCCCATTCGGGATGGCCTGCATTTGTTGCCGCCTCTTTGAACTCCGCTTCGAGGTACTTGTCATAGCACTGAAATTCTCCAATACCAGGGAAAACCCATCCTTGAGTTCCTGTATAAGAAGGATATCTAAGCTCCCCTGCAGGACCAAGCCCAACTTCGATGTCGATTATGAGCCCTGCTTCGAGAAAATCCAACATGTTCTCCTTGAAGCTCTTCATGTAGTCGCTGTAAATCTGCAAAAAACAACAATCTAAGTCTTTTTTAAAGGCGAAGATCATTGCAGAACAGCTCCTGAAGTTGAACTAACCTGGACCGCGGTTCTTCCATAAAAAATCTGCTGATTATCCACACCAATGGTGAGGTATTCTTCATTCCGGTTACCTCTCCGATTGGTATAAAAGATATCAGGGTCGGTTTCACCGATGTTGAGCACCCATTTCGGAAGCGGGATGGTAACTTCATCTCCGACATTGCCACCACATCGATGGAATGACATAATGGCTTGTAGTTTCAATCCGCATTCTTGAACGAGTGTAAACAAGCTACTGTAAGCACTCCAGTCGTATTGTTTAGGTCCCTTTGATTCTACAATCCCCCACCAAACATCAACCATTACTCCGTCGACCCCGGCCGCTCTCAGTTCGTCGAGCTGTTTCTCGATCTTGGGCTGATCTTTGAAAACATTATCATTTGAAATAACTCCCAACTGAGTAAGAAAAAGAAGTTAGTAGCTTGATATGCAAGGCAGAAACGATATCACCATATCAGTAACTTACCGGAAGCATCACATAGACCGGCACATAGTTCGCTAACATCCGTTCATCGTAAGGCGGAGCAGCCGGAGCCTGCATGTTTTTCTGCACTGATGAAGTTCGTTTTATATAGCAAAATTATATAGTTTTTTTTTTCACCTCACCTCAGGCACTTCACCTGTTGAGAACTCTGATGCCACTGCTTTGGGAACTTTTGTTATATCAACAGAGTTGATTCTACCTGTTTTCCCCAGAGCTTTTACTACTCCCTGCACGCTTTCGAGTCTATCCATCGGCAGCGGAACCTGGTGGAAAACGCCGCCTCCGTAAAGCCGAAGCTTATCACTTCCCCAACAACCCTGCGTTGAACATATAATGCTCGTCGTATTCACCATCGTTATGCTTCTCCTGGAAATGTGGTGGAGCAAAACTCTGGTTTGTTGCTTCTCATGTTGGAATCATTTATGTGGTGTTCAATGTCCATGATTGATAAATGAAGATTATCTTCAGGAATCATCTACTTGGGGAGGAGATGAACATGTACCCTTGAAAACACACAGACGTGTGGCCAGTATAAAAAATCATGACTTGCTTTGTTTGTACTAAGCAAATTGAATTGTACATACATATATATATATATATATATATATATATATATGGCCAATATGTGCCCTAGTGCTAAATGTCAATGCCTTCAGTTTTGTTCCCTTTCTTCACTCTTAGTAAAGAAAATGTAAGTTAAGTAGCCAATATGTTGTAATTTTTTTAATAATTTTTAAAAGGTTGGATTTTATTTACTATTCAGTAAATTTTCATTTTTTAATAATTTCATAAAAATGGAAAGCTTAATGTAAATTTTAATATTTAAAATGAAATATTGCGATTTTCTTTTTATAAAAGATGCATGTTATATATAAGTTAAAAAAAATCAAACTCAACCAACAACCGGATGGTCTAGTAGGATGAGACATTAGGTCTCTTAAGTAAGGTTAGGGGTTCGAATCCTGGCGTTTGCGAATGGAGAAAACTGGGTTGTGAGGTTCTCCCTCGCCTCTGCAATACCCGATCTGAATTAGTCGGTCAATAGATCGATATCAATGATTAATTAAAAAAAATCAAACTCAAACTATAATAATTATCTAAATAGAATATAACTGTATAACATCTAAATCTAATTACATTGTATAAGCGTGAATGTAGCCTAAGTAAATCACTCTGCAGGTGATTTGAACTAGGCCTGTAAATGAACTGAACGTTCATCGAACCGTGCGGCGGGAAGTTCGTTTATGTGCGTTTATTTATTAAATGAATGAACATGAATAAGATTTTTTTGTTCGTTTAATTAAATGAACGAACATGAACATAAGTCTTGTTCGTTCATTTACGTTCGTGAACGTTCAATTATGTTCATTCGGTTATGTTTGTTTATGTTCGTTCGTTTATGTTTAACCCAATCTTCTTAAATCAATTTTGTTGACCAATTTGTAAGTATCTTAAAAATATTAATTAATCTAATATTCTGATGACCAACTTCATAATTTTATTTGGAGATTAAACCCGTGAGACACCTCGCACCTATATTCATTTCTCCTTTTTTTTCCCAAACCCTAGTGTTCACTGGAGAGTGGAGACGATCGCTGAAAGCTTCAAAACAAGTTATATTATAGTGCAATCTGAAGTTTTACATGTCTATTTTCATCTCTTTCTCTATTTTATTTAGCCTAATAGTTGATATGTTAAGTTATTGCGGGTATCTTCACATCTAAAACTCAAGAAAACATCATATTTCTTTCTAGAAATAGATGGGAAGATAAAGATAACAATCGGAAGTATATGAGCATCAGTAAAGAGAAAAATATATAGAATTTTCCAGAAAACAAAACAAAGGTTTCTATGTGTTGAAAACATTTTTGTATTTCGATATAACAAATTAGTTTAAATAAATTTTAAGATTTTACAAACGATTTTCTAAATATATTCGATTCAATTAATCGAATATCAAATTATTACTCCAAGTCTTTTAAGATCAATTTCAAACCTTACTAAATGTGTAAAATTGTTTTGAACCAAAAATCAAGCCTAAAATCAATTTTTCAGAGTGATGCACCGATGCACCAATCCATGCATCGATGCACCATGAATTAAATTGAACATCGAATGCATTTCATGCATCGATGCACATACCATGCATCGATGCACTGAGGATTTTATGAAAACATCGAATGCATTTGATGCATCGATGCACCAGCCATGCATCGATGCACTCTGGCTATTTTGAAACATCGAATGCACTTGATGCATCGATGCACTCTTAGTGCACCGATGCACTAAGGGTCCAACAGTCAAAATATTTGAATTTTACAGTGATGCACCTATGCACCATGGGTATGCATCGATGCACTGACGCTCCCAATTGTTTTTAATTAATTGTTTTCACACTTAAACGACTATACTGACTCCACTAATCATCCTCAACATTCAGAAGTGATTCAAGGTGTATTTAAGCAAGCTTAGAAGACATTGATCAATAACAAGAAACATCAAGCAACTAGAATCAAGAGAGAATCAAAGAGAAAGCATCAAACCTCAAGTTTGAGCATTTCAAGCCTATTTTTCATTCAATATTCATTTTGCTTTCAAGAACACTTATTGTGCTCAATTTTATTCATTCTTGAGTGTTCTTTTCTTTGTTCTAGAATTGTGCAAACAATCTACCTTGTGAGGATTTCCTTGTAAGTTTGCAAATTTGTATTATTCTCTTTGGGAGAGAGTGTTCTCAAGAATTTGGGGTATAATTCTTGAGGGTTTGTAAGGTTACTCTTTGTCCTCAAAAGAAAGACAAATTAGTGAATTTGTGGAAAATCCTTAGTGTGGATAGCTAAGGTAGTGGACGTAGACTTTGGTTGAGAAAGTCGAACCACTCTAAATCGTTGTGCAATTTCTTTCAATTTTCTGCAAAAGCTTCTACAAAAAATTTTATTGCCAATTCACCCCCTCTTGGCCGATTTCATCAATCGATTAACTCAACAATTGGTATCATAACCTAACTCATTTGAAGGTTTAATCGCCTCTTGAGTCGATTCGGGAAGAGTTATATCGATAATCAAAGTCATCAATGGCCTCTACTTCAAACTTTGACTCCGGTCTCGATTCGATGCCCGTCAACAATCTTCTTTTCTCCAATGGGACTAATTATGCCTATTGGAAAAATAGGATGATGTACTTCATTCAAGCAAGTGACATGGGAGCATGGAATGTCGTAGAAGAATGATACTTCAAGCCTCTCACTCATCCAAGATTATGGAGTGAAGGAGAGACAAAAATATTCCAGCTCAACTCCAAAGCCATCCATATCATATTTTGTGCTCTTAGACCAGATGAATACAGAATAGTTTCATCTTGTACAACCGCCAAAGAAATATGGGACAAACTTCAAGTCACTCATGAAGGTACCGATAAGGTAAAGAAATCTAAAATTAGTATTCTAACGCATAGCTATGAAAATTTCAGGATGAAACCAAATGAAGATATCAAAGCTATGACGGATAGATTCTCAACGATTGTCAATGGTCTCAAATCATATGGAAAGATCATTTCAAATGAAAAGCTTGTGAGGAAGTTAGTCTACTCCCTCCCAAAATCGTGACAATCAAAGAAGACGACAATCATCGAGTCTAAGGATCTAACATCCTTAACTCTTGAAGAGCTAATCGGTTCACTCCTCACTCATGAAATGATGCTTGAAGATGAGGTGGACCTTGATAAGACTGAAGAGACACCAAAAGAGAAGGAGAAGAAGAAGAACATTGGAGTTGCTCTCAAATCCATAAAAAATGAGAGTGATTCAGATGAAGATGACGATGACGAGGAAATAACATTGTTTGCCAAACGGTTCAGAAAAATGATGAGACCTTACCGAGGAAGAAAATTCAAACGAAATGAAGGCCTCAAAAATGAACCAAAAGAGAAGGACCCGATCATTTGCTATGAATGCAAAAAACCGGGGCATGTCAAATATGATTGCCCACTACTGAAGAGAAAGGGTCAATCAAAGAATAAGCACAAGGTTCATGTGGCTATATGGAGCGATGAAGAAGGTTCCGATGAAGAGGAACAAGAAGTAGCAAACTTGTGCTTGATGGCATTCGGGGAAGATTCTAAGGTAACCTCTAACTCATCTGATTTTGATGATTTATCCTATGATGAGTTATTAGAGGAATATAATGGGTTGGCTACGGATTATGAGAAATTGTTTTTAAAATATAAAAACGATGTTTCAAAATTGAAAAATGAAAATAAACTCATATCCAAAACCAACAACGATCTTGAAAGTAAAATCAAATATTTGCAAATCAAACTAGAAGAGTTTGAAAAGAAAATTTTGGATTTGAAAAATTTACTTTCAAAGGTCAATGATGATCATCAAAAGAAAATTGATGATCTTAAAACTTCTTTTGATAAAGTTGGAACAAAACGTTTTGAAAATGGAGAAAATTCAAAATCCAACTTTGTTAGAAAAAGTTTTAAAAACTACAATCATAGAGGTCCCCAAAGAACCTCTAATGGAAAAATCGTTAGAAGTATATGGGTTCCTAAAGAGCTCATTACTACTAAAGATGAAGATATCTTACACAAATGGATACCTAAGGGGACTAGGATTTTGGAAACTAATGAATATGGACCCAAAAGATTTTGGGTACCAAAAATTAGAAATTAATCTATGTTTGTAGGAAAAGGAGCATTGCTACAAGGCATGGGAAACAAATCCAAACTCATGGTACCTTGATAGTGGATGCTCAAGACACATGATCGGAGACAAAAACCGGTTCAATGAGTTTAACGCCAAAAATGGAGGATAAGTGACTTTTGGTGATGATTCAAAAGGTCACATTAAAGGTATTGGTACTATTGGTAATACCTCTTCCATACAAATTAAGAATATTTTATATGTGAATGGATTAAAGCATAATCTATTGAGTATTAGTCAATTTTGTGATAAGGGATTCAATGTCATGTTTGATATTAATGGTTGTAAAATCATTGACATTGCATCTAATCAGATTATGCTTGTTGGTCATAGAATATGAAACATATACATGGTGTATTTAGATTCTATTGATATGACTAATTTGTGCCTAGTTGCTAAGGATGAACATGATAGTTGGTTATGGCATAGGAGACTAGGACATACTAGTATGAATGTTTTGCAACGGCTAATTCAAGGTGATTTAGTTCGATGGTTGCCTAAGCTTAAATTTGATAATGATAAAATCTGTGATGTTTGTGCTAAAAGAAAACAAAAGTGAGTTTCTTTTAAATCCATTAATGACGTATCAACTAGTAGAGTATTACAATTGATCCATATAGATCTTTTTGGGCCAACT